TATACAAAAGACTCTGGGTTTGATCCCTCAAACTGCAAAATAAATAAGTAACAGGTAAAATTGATACTATGCTTTATTGTGTATACAGTAATCTCTTAGTATCCCTGGGAGGCGGGTTCCAGTGTCATCCCCTATACCAATATCTGAAGATGCTCAAGTCACTTATATAAAATGTAGAATTTGCATATAACCTATGTACATCCTCATGAATATGTTCAATTATCTCTGTATTGCTTATCCTGCCTACTACAATGGAAATGCCATGCAAATAATTATGACACTGAACTGTTTAGGGAATAATGACAAAGAAAAAATCTGTATATATGTAGTACAGAAACAATTTCTTTGTAAAATATATATCTGGTCTACTGTCAGTTAAATCCATTGATATGGAATTCACTGGTACACAGCCTGCTCTCTACACACTGAGTTGCAATGCATCCAAAATTTATCATTTCAACATATTTTCAAACAAAAAACTAATGAAATATTTTATTTTCTTTTTTTGTACCAAGTCTTCTAAATCAGAAATATGTTCACATACCATTTCAATTCACATGATAAATTTTAATCAGAAATGCTTGGTTTGTGATTGTATTTCATAAAATCTATAGTTGAAAAAGTAGAATCATTCACACGCTCAAATTATTTCAAATAACAGATACATGAGATTTTAAATTTAAACAAATTTAATTATGATTAAAATTTCAGCTCCTCAGTTACACCAAGTACTTAACAGCCACATGTAACTACCAGCTACTGTACTAGACAGACCCTGAGCATCTACTATGTGCCATTGGCAAAACAAATAAGCATCACAACAGACACTACAGGACCAGTCAGATATGACCTCTGTTTCTGGGTGTGAGGGGCAGAGGATAATATGACTCACATATACAAATAGCAACAATCTAAGCAAGTTTTGATGCATGCTAAATATAGAGAAAGAAAAACACTCCAAGAAGAAAAGAAAAAAGGGAAGACTGGTAGTGCAGCTCACAAACAGTAGTTAAGGCGTAGCATATCCTTGGAATGATGGGAAATAAGATTTTTTAAAGTAGCAATAGGCAATACTGCTGATAGCATCAATTAGCACACCAAAGAGTAGTCTAAGTGTATTGACAATGCACTTAGAAACCTGAAAATGTTGCCAGTGAGGAGAATGGATCCGAACTGTGTTTTAAACAGATTCACTTGGCATTGATGTGAATGATGGACAGAAAGGGAAAGAGTTTTGTGACTAACAGACTACTTAGCCACTAGCTAGTCCAAGCAAAATATAATGAAAAAAATGAGGGAGGTGCTAGGAAAGGAATAAAACTAGAAATTTGATTAAATATGTACCTGAGGACCTTAGTATGTGGCAATTTGGGGAAGAGGTCAAAGAAAGCTAGGAAGAGTCAGAGAGTTCTACAGCGATTAAAATAATAAGTACTAAAGAAAGGATGGATAGAAAAAAGTCTGCATTGTATTTGCATAGAAATATTTTAAAAGAAGATTGAAATATATGTGCATATGGGGTGGAGACTTTGGATAGACAGGAAAAGAAGTAAAAAATATATTTATAGAGCTGACAAATTAACAGAATGACAACTTTCTTTAAAATAATATACAATCAGTTCTCTGTATCCACAGATTCAACTAACTGTGGATCAAAAATATTTTTTAAAAATAACTAAATCTATACTGAACATGTACATATTTTTCCTTGTCATTATTCCCTACATAGTACATATAACAACTGCTTACATAGCATTTACAATGTATTAGAAAGTTAAAGTACATGAGAGGATATACATAGGTTATGTGCAAATACTATACCACTTTATAGGAGGAACTTGAACATCTGAGGATTCTGGTGTCCACAGAAGGCCCTGAGCCCAATCCCTGTGGATATCAAGGGATGACAGTGTGCTACTGCAACTGTAGAAGGTAGAGGCTGAGAAAATTCAGCTATGGTATTATTCATTAGGAAGTGATGCAGCTGTTAAACATTTTTGCTCTTGAAGTATCCTCAGGGATATATTAAACTGCCCAAAATACAATGTTGAAGTTTGGTTGATAAAATTCTGACTTTATGCAGCTACATGCTGTACCAGACAGAAAATGTGTGGGAAGACTCACGCCAAGCTGTTATCTAGTGGGTCGCCCCTGGGGAGTGAGGCTGAACAGGGGAAGGGCTTTCATGTTTTATATTTTGTTATTATTTGAACTTGCCACGCAGGGTATATTATCTTTACTTTTAAAAAGGCAGAGAAAGAAAAGGATGCAATATGTATTTAGGCATTCAGAATAATGACTGAAAGGATGTATATCAAAAAACTCTCTGGGTCAAATTTGTTTTATTTGCAAGGGTTTTTATATTTTAAAGTAGATCTGTAATATTTCCATAATCAGAAAAATATCATAAAAGGAAATAATTTGTAATTCCAAAGGTACAATCAATTTTAAATCTCTTTGTGAGGCTAAAATTATAGGGAGGGATGTTCTTTAAAAAGGCTGGATCCAATTTCTTTTCCTTTTGTGGGGTTCATGCTTACTTCTGTTGGTGCTGAAGCTATTTCCACTTTTATTTATTTTTTTATGATTTCCATTCACCATAGCCAAAAGGAAAATCGAGGCCAACCACAAGGCAAGCCTTCCTGAAGGAAGACAAAAAGCCTCTGTAACCTGTGGAATGAAAACTTCACCACTAGAACGTGACTCTTTTGTTATGAATGACTTCAATTGCTGGTAGACAGAAATTCTGAAGGAGAACAAAGAACATGAGAGTGATTTCAGTGCTTGGTTGTCATTCCAGGGCAGGCAGGCTTGTAACCTTATAGCATAATGACGGGAACAAAGAACAAGGTGTCCCATTCACTGTGAAGCTCTCGCAACCAGAGGGTCTCGGGTCTTTGCCGAGCCTTTCACTGGAGTGGAAAAGAAAAGAAACTTCCAAGGAGTGTGAAGGGGGCTAAGAGCAGGTAAATCACCAGCAGCCATCTAAATAGCAGCCAAAACGAGTAGAAGAAATGAAAAGACACCGTGTGATCATTCACCAATGGCACCATGTGCACTAAATCAGGATCTTTTCAGTCTGATGCAGTTGTTTTTACTGAACAGTCAGGCACCCAAGGAAATACCAGTTGAGTCTTAAAGACAATTTATAGCCGGTTAGGCTCATTGCACCTGGCTGTTTTGACAGCGGGTTTTGTCAGTTTATAGTAGAAGATCTTGTCTACACCATAAGCTATCACTAATGCAACTAGACTTTTAGGAAAAAATGTATAGCTCAGAGGCAAATCTTGCCCTTCCACACACCCTTGTCCCTTTGAAAAAATGGGGGAAGCAAAAGCCTCTGCTGGGGGCAAAACTTTTCCCTTTAGTGTAACAGAACCTGCTCATAGTGAGAGGATCAGCACCAGTCCTGCACCCCCAGAGGGGTCGCCTGCATCTGGGCACACAGTTAAGGATGCTTTCCTTTCCCATCCCTCTGATCTAACTGCTTCAGAGAACCAGCTTGTTCCAAGCCAGGAAATATGGAAACTAGCTCTCTGGGCTTCCTCCTCTTTCTAGCTCCCAGGCCACACCAAGAATGTCTGAGAGTCTCCTAATGGCCCAGCTTGGGGACACGACACAAAGGGCTTCAGAGATGCACCCCCACCTCTCCTGAGTGAAACACAAGGGTAAGGCTCAGCTGTTCACGACTAGACAGATCTTAACTTGTTCTCCCTGGACTTTGCTACTTGGTGAGTGGTCTTACTTGGAAGTCCTCTTCTTAGAAACCGCAGGGCCTCATAATATGTACAAGTACACAACACTGCCTCGCAAAGGAGGTACTGCCCAGGTTTGGTTTGGTTTTTAATTTTTTTCTCCCAGAAGGATTGGGCCAAACAAATCACATTGAACAGGTGACATGCATTCCTGAATGGCAGGCAAAGCGTCCTTTTAGAAGAATGAGCTAATGGTAGCTTGAGGCAGACATTTTCCCCTGTGTGGTAGGAAAGGACAAAGATACGAGCAGAGAGGTGAAAAGGTAAAGAACAGCCCTCCTATCCCTTCATTTCACGGGTCACAGACATTCACTGACACTCAGACATTCCCAAGGGGAAGCTCATGTAATCAGTCATGAAACCAGAAACGAGCAGGCTCAGGGGCTGCTGGCTGAGCTCTGGCAGAGCTTCTCTTGGCCATGGAGGTCCACCCCCACCATCAAGGCCTGCTGTGGTGGACAGGCCTGGTCCACAGCTGCCCTGGATGCCACCCTTGGACTTCTCAGGTCCTAGGCTCATGTTAGGGTGAATATCTGGAGGCTCAGGGGCATGAGCTGCCCAAGAGGCTCTCAGAGGAGCAAATTTTGGGTTAAACAGCAGGAAGAGGTGGCTATGGGTCAGGTGATTCCCATGGGCAGGCCCAGGGCTGGCTAGGAGACATTTCTACTCAGACCCACTATAGGTAGAAAGAGAAGAGGAGAACAAAATCTTAAGGAAGAGGGAGTGCAGGACCCTAGGACAGAGAAATGGCTCTAACTAGGTCATCTAGTAAGGAAGGCTGGCCTGAAACTTCAGGGGAGAAATGTGAGAGGCACCTGGGGGAAGAAAGGGCGGAAGCCACTGAAGTGCAGGTCAGAGAAAAGCTCAGCAAATCAGATCACCTGCTTGTTTGGCTACATCCAAAGAGCAGAGCTAGAGGCCAGCTGCTCAAACACAGGGGCACTGAGCTGTTGCCTGGTGACTCCAGCCAAAACACACACTGCTTTGCAAGAGCTCATTGAACACACATGTTCATCCATGTACCACAGTCACTTCAAACCGGGGCCACAGGCTCACCCCATGATGAACAGGCTGAAACAGAATAGGAAGCCTGGCATCTTCCTGACTTACAGATGGTCCGGCTCAGCAAAATCACTGCTTTTACATATAGTCACAGATCCAAAAGTTCTTGTCACAATTGACAGGCTAAACAGAAAGTGCAACTCTTTGCCACAGACTCTCCTAAAGCAGGCATCTTGAGTGTACCTTTGGTATTCCGGAGCTCTCAAGCCAGTCTTGCAAGATGTTTTCAACAGACAATCCGAGCCTTTAGAAATAAAACAACAAAAAGCAGAGGATTAGAAAGTTACAGAGCGCTTACTGCATAGAACGCTTCTCTCTCACTACTTGAGCTCACTGCAGCATTAGCCATCCAGAGAAGGGGCAGTGGTTTGGAGCAGGAGCAACGTTCTCTGGATTAAAGTGATGGAAGGACCCTGTCTGACCAACAGAGATTCTCTTTATCAATAGCAATACCTGCACACTGAGATCAAAGAATCGCAGGAGCACTGTAATAAGTGCTCTTAATGCTCTGAAAGGAACTTTTGGTTGGGAAAGCCAATGTAAGGAGAATAAGACATTATCATATCAGCACAGCTGCTTCCTGGACAATGGTGGAACTAAGAGGCACCTGAGCATTACTGTATTTAATGCTGGATTGTGAAACATGAACTTTAAAGTAATGATGGGCTGGCTGCAATGTGCAAAAAGAAGACACACATCACTATCAGACCACAGAGAGGCTCGGATGCAAGGAAAGAGTATGGCTTCTTCCACTGTCTGTGCTGCGGCAAGCTTACATCGACCTGCCTGATGTGAAGTACGGTATTGTGACTGCTTGATATGTTAGCTGAGACTATCGCTTTCCTATTCTGACACATTGCCTACTCCTTAAAATGACAAAGTATCCAACATCTTTAGGGGCAACAGACCAGAGAAGCCCTCGAGACTCCTCCCAGGCCGAAACCAGACTTCCTCCTTGTACCCATCATCCATCATGCTTGCATTAGTGAGTTACTTGATTACTCCAATCTTATTGTCTCTTCATGAGATCTAATCTCACCACTTACAACAGTTACTAGTATACAAGAACACACATTTTATGTGTGAATGAAATACATATCACTGTTGTCACAAGAAAGTTATTCCTTTTTAAGACAATATTCACCTTTCCCAGTAAGAGAGTTCCAAGTTGTTAAGCTCCATATCTTTTAAAAATGTTTAAGTAAATATATATTATGTATGTATATCCCTTCCCTCCCTCCTTTGGGAACTGTGGAAGAAGCTGTGGGGAGATAGTGTTATCTGCAGTGTCCCTGCCCTGTAAGGTCAAGTGCCACACATCACCTCAGTGGGCATTACAGGTGGTCCCAGGGAGGAAGGCAGGGAAGTGTCGGTTTGGGAGGGGCTGCAAAGGGAGAGGACTGAATTTCTCTTCCTTCTCTTGTCACAGGCACACCTTTTCTTCCTTGACCAGGGCAAAAGCAACGGCTGCACAAAGAGGCAACTATTCAAAGCAGAAAAAATACATGGAAGGAAAGAAAGTTATGCAGAGAGGGTCTAGAGTGATGGGAACCATCAGGTCCCTCTGTGGGACAAAAGGCAGGAGAAGGGGAGGCACAAGAGGACAGAGGGGCAACAGTGACCTCCCTAGGTCCTCCTGGTTCCCAGAATCACTGAAATTCCCTGGATGCGGCACTGTCACTGGGCCTTCCTACTCTGCCTCCTTCCTATGCTCTCACTTAACAGCATCCATCAGCGCCAGCGGCCAGTCTCTCCGCCAGCTGTGTGTGGAATATGTGCTCCTGGATGTGTGCACGCATGTGTGCACGTGTATGCTGGAGCCAGGGAGACTTGATTTACTTGGGAAAGGGTTTGGAAATACCCTGGCCCGGCATAATCTGTAGAAAGAGGAAAGTGGGGCTGACGGGCCACTTAGCAATAAGCACAACTGAAGCAGGTCAGAGAAGAGAACAACAGGCCCTTGCCCTAAATCAGGGCAGGCAAGGTGGGCACACGCCGGAGACCCCTCAGCTGAGCAAAGCAAGGAGCAGGCGGACAAGATCCCTTCACCCAAGGAACTGTCCTGCCAGGGGGCATGTGCATGACAAGGCGGGCAGTGTGCGTCTGTTTCTAACAAGCATAGGCCTTCAAAATGGACTACTACTCGACAATAAGAATGACAAATTTGAGACATTTATAAGAAATGGATGCACCTGGAAAATGTAATGTTGAATGAAATAAACCAGACACACAAGCTTAAATACCATATGGTATCTCTCATTAGAGTGGGGCAAAGTACAAACAAAGAAAATAATGAAGGATGGATAGAAGGGGACCAGGAGATGGATCTCTTGGAATAGGGATGGGGTCCAAGGGAACAAGGGCGAAGGGTGAAGAAGAGAGGAAGGGGAAGTAAGTAAAATAAAGATACACCATGTATAGGAACCTAACAAACTCAATCAATGTAAACATTATATGCCATAACATGAACTAAGATTAATAGCATCAACGAGAATGAAAATAGAGATAGGGGAATTGGAGGGGGGGAGGGAAGGAGAGAAGGAGGGTTGGTAAGGGGAAGTAGATTAAAAAAACAAAGGAGCTGTAGTATGTGCACATATCCACTCCCCAAGGTGACCGTAAACATGATGTACTGTGAATAAGTATTAATAAAATTTTAAAAGTGGGGAAAAAAAGAATAGGCCTTCAACTGAGCAGGCTTGCTTGCCATGTAAGTTTAAAACTTAGTCTTATTAGTCAGCCTCACACATTTCACTAGAAAATAAAACATCACGCTTCCCTGGAGGCAGGTAGGAAAGTGTCCTTCACTGGCTCCCCTTCTCTCTCCCGAGAGGGACACACCTGTGCCTGGAGCTCAGCTGCAAAACTTCTGTCACTTTTCTTTCTAGAGACATCCAGGAGGGCCCTGTCGAAAGGCTCACTTCTGAACTGAGATTTGCCACACGTGCTCTCTTTAACACCTCCACAACTTAAGAGGAAGATGCAGCGCTCGGAAAGGACTTCGAAAGCACACTAGTGATGATCAAAGGGGCAGGCACACTGCATTCGTGAGTGAGGTCAAGGGAACTGGGATTAAATGTCCTGAAAAGAGACAGCTGAGGAGTGACTTAATTGCCATTTTCGAGGTGAACAGCTGTTGTACATCGCCATGGAGTAGTGAATGAGGACATGGACATAAATCTCTTTGGGGAATTTTTGCTTAAAGATACTTCTCCAAGTGGCCTGGGGGAGGGGCTGTGGAGTGGAGCCCTGGAATGTTACTCAGTGAGGTCCAAAGTCCTCATCACAGAAGGCTGAAGAACAGGCAGAAATACACATCTTTATCTGTATGGTAAACATCCAGCCAAGGCCTGCTCGGCCCAGGTTCCTCAAAAGCTGAGACTGAGAGACTCAGGGGGTGACTGAAGGATGCACACAAACACCAGTCACAATGCAAGCAGTTCCTGCAGCGGTGAGAACCCCATGGGTGTGGGACACGAGGAAGAGGACAGCGAGGAGCACAAGGACAGACAAGTGCGCGGTGCAGTAAGATGGTGCCACCCTGCACCCTGGGGCTGGAGGGGCAGAGTGAGCAGAATGGCATGCAGAGCGGTGAAGGAACATGGAAATGGCTCCCCAGGAGGACCTCCGATGCCACATCCTTCAAGGATGCTCTGAAGCATGGCTGTAAAGAACAGAGTTGAGGACAAATAACAGAAGCAGGAGAGGCTGGGCACGGGGAAACAACATGGGAAACAATGAGAAGGGGCTCATTGGACGAGAAGGGCCAGGAGATGGCATGTGGGCCAGGGACCCCATCAATCTTTGCAGGGTGACTTTCCATAGAAAGTATGTGACTGCACACAATCTGCCTGTTCTAGTCTGTGGCCAATTCTAAGGTTTTGTTTCTTGTTAACTATTAAGGCAAATTCTGTTTTGCCATAGGTAGTATTTGCATATACACAGCTACTACTGTATTATGCAGTGACACTAAAAACAAAACCAAAACTCCTGCATCCACTGCCAAGTAAAGGCATAGAAACAGTAGCTGCTGTTCACTGAATTCTATGATGCATGAGACACTACCGCTTAAATCTCATTTAAACTACAGTATCTTTACAAGACCAATGTTATTATCCTCAAGTTACAGTTGAGTAAATAAACAGTCTGAGAGGTTGGGGAGCTTATCCAAAGCCACACAGAAAGTACTTGAAGAGCTGGGGTCCAAACTACATTGCCTCTGAAGTCCTAACTTTTCTATCTGTGCTAAACTTAGACCTCCAAATGAGCTGGGTTTTGTTACATGCAGATAAACCTGCAGAGGCTGAGAGCTTGTGCTTGCTCCTAACAACGCAGGCTTTCCTTTCTCACCAACAGCTCTTACTACAGCTGCCCTTTTTGCCAGCATCTTCCATGATATTTTTGGAGTGATGGGGAGACCACTGAGAGGGGCAAAGTGTGAGGGCAGGAGCACTCCTCCTTCAGCTGCATCCAGGAGCAAACACCATTATCCCTTGAAGGGGGAGAACATGTGTTTTCAGATCACTTTCCTTTAGAAAGGTTCAAGGCATCTTATAACCATTAACACTTCATTCTTCCTAATATCCTTGTCAAGTGGGTGTCAATTGCTGCGTGGCATTTTAGCAGATGGAGAAACTGCAGCACAGGAGGGTTGTAGCCAAAGTCAGTGCAGACAGAGCGCTAAAGAAAAAATTCCCAGTTTTCTAAACTTCGGTATCACACTATCACACTAAACTTCGGATGTCACACTGTGCTAAGCCTTTCTGGGCACTGCTAACATGGAAGTTGATGCTGACCTACCGGAGAAAGGCGCAAGCATTATTCCGCTAGAACAAACCAAGCAACAAACAAAAATTAAGGTATTTCAAGTGTCCTTGCCTCCCAAAGAAATAATAAGAAACCATATAAAAATGTTTAATTTTCAGGGAAGAAATGGACCGTATGTTTTAGGAGAAGGATAATACTTATGTAGTTTTGCAGTTTTGATCATAATTACTGAGATGGCAGTGCAGGTGGATGTTGAAGTGTGGGCTTGGATAGGTAGCAGCGGTTAAGCTAAAAGTTAACTTTTTCGCATCAAGACACTCAGAGTCTAAGCCAATGGTTCATTTTTTCCCTCTGAGATCATGTGGCTTAAATAATCACAACAGACAAGGAGAAGCATTTCCACTTAGGCAGAACCCAAGCCGTACAGGAAATTACTCTTCTGCATGTCTGATCACTATGGAAATTGATTTTATACAG